AACAACCAATGACTTACCCTTGCTGCCTCAAATCACGTTTTTCCAGGGTGCCAGAAAGGTTAGATATTTAATGTACTTAGCATACCTGTATATCACCAAGTGCACTAAGCAACTAAAAGTGCAAAAAAAAAAAAGTATAAATATACATACATACCTGTATATACACATACATACACATACAATTGTGTATGTATATAACTGTATATACACATACATACACATACAAATACACATGCAATTTTACCTGTATCACCCCAACCAGAGATGTAACAATTAGTAGTTTTCTGTGGCCTCTCCCGCCTGAATGGCAAACAGGCAGGTAAAACATGAGTGCTAAAGCGAGTACACTGTTCTTGAGCTCCTTGCAACCTCACTAGTGCAATGTCATAATCATTGCTGTCAGGCCTATATTCTGTGTGTTGCACAATTTCTTGTACTCCAATTTCTTCTTCATACTCCTCGGGTACCAACGTGTGGTAGTCTCCAACGCGCACCACATAGTTTCGAGTATTTTTTTCATAACGAAAAGAAGAGAAGAAGGAAGGAAAATAATTGAAATAGGATTCTGCTTTTATTATAACACTGATGACCCCACCATCTTTTTCCAAAAAAATGCAGAAGAGATCAGTGATAGCTAGGACAGTTTATCACTGAAATACAAGCAGGGGTGTAATATATGAAAGGAGAGTGAGTTTATTTCCTTTCCTGATTTCTGATTCCATTATTGTCTTTATTGCTATTCAGTCCTGGATTCTTGCCCCAACTTTTGGAAATCTTTTCATTACTTGTCCTGATTGTTCCCTCTCATCAGGCCCAGATTAGATTTGATCTTAAAAGCCTCTCATGGTCTATTATATTTCTTCTATTTTATTTGATGACTAAGATGAAGGATGTGAAATTAACACATATTCTGCCGAATACTAGCATGTTCAATTTGTTTCATCCTGACCTTCAAGTCTATATAGTATGGTAGAAAAATAGTAAACATACTATATCAGTAGAATATGTAATAATTATCTCTACAACACCAGCAATTGCTCCAATCCAGCACAAAATTAGCATCTTGAATGTTAGCACCTTGAAAAGTGAGAATTGGCTCCAACAATAAAGAAAAAAAGCACATATAACATATATTGTGAGTTTTTGGGGATAAAGGTGAAAATAATAACCATTTCAACAATCTAGCTTCCACTTACATTTTTTTGAAAAAAACACACCTTCTCATATAGTATGAGTATATGTAATTCACATTAATTAATATTTTCCTTTTTCATTATGTTGAAATATCCTCCTGGTCAAATCCTCAGGCCAATGAAGACAAAAGGCTATGATTTAACCAAAGGAAAATTCAGTGTAATAAATTAAATTGGCTATTTTCAGTTGTTTTATGGAACAGATTTTTTTCATAACACTTGGTCCACATTTCTTCATAAAGAATGCATCTTCCCATAAAATTATTATTTTACATATAGGACTAAAGCATCACATGGGAAAAATCTCAAAAGCTGTTTGGCCATTTGTGCTGGACAACTATTCAATATGTATCATGATACAGTTATTTCTTTAGCACTTGCATACTATATGTAGAAAAGTGCCAGGTCCATTTCCTTTAGCCAACAATTCTTAGATCAACCAACTGATTAAATGTTAGTATCATTTTGCAAGGTATTATCAATGGCTTGACTACATATATTCAGTTTTTGGACTACTTAAACCTACGTTTAGTAATAAAAGCTATTGTATATTGTATAACATAGTGTTCCTTCAGGTTCAGGAACTAGTAATGTAGCTTAGGCAAACTTACTCAGGTGTTTACCTCCTTTCTTCTGTTTATTTACAGATTGATCCTATACAATGACTGAAAGAGTTACAGATTTGTACATTGTATGTTCATTCATTCCAGGCTAGGTGAGTACACATCTTCCTCCAAAAGTCACCCATCTGGTAATTCTGGGAGTTGTATTCCAAGACGTCTGGAAAGTGCCTAGTTGGGGAAACCTGATTTATGTCGAAGCGCAAACCTAATGATTTCCCTTTCCCTTTCTATTTATTTAAGTAAGTCCAAGCTTTTGAGAATAATGACATTAATGAAGGCATTTGGACTGCAGAAGTAAAAGCAATTTAAAATATATATGAAATATTAATAAATGGTGTATGATTTAAAAATGCAACTGTTGTTCCTTTGAGCAATGCCAGAATTGCCCATACATTTTACTATCTTTGTCTTTCTGTACTGCCTTTCTGCACTGACTATTCTGCTAACATATTCCCCTGTGAATTTTGCAGCAATACCTCTTAAAACAATGCGCTGCGGTGAGCACCCAGCAACTGCTGATAAGAGTGGCACCACACAGAAGTCTTCCATCGCCATGGGATGATTTCATGCGCAAAGCTACTTGCCAGGGCCAGCCACCTCTAGACACAGAATATATATAATTAATATGAATGTTCCACTGTTCAAAAAGAAGCATATGTTTATGTATTTGTGTGTGAATAGGGTTGTTGTGCATCCCTCACCAAACAAGAGATAGAAACTTGTTCAACCACTTTATTCTAAATTTATCTGAGCATAGTTAAGATTATTCAGCCAGCCTCTTTTGACACATCCATACTTATAAAAAAGAAAAACATGAAGCAAACATGAGAATTTTAGCAAGTTAGGTATGCAATGCTATGATTATTTTGGGAGTAGTATCTGTAGAAATAATGAGTGACAGGCATTCAGCCATATGTGAGAACTCTTGCTAACTGTTATTCTTAATGTCTGACACATTCATTTAATTTGAAAAAGGTCCACATAGAACTGCTGGTTGTTTTCATCATCACTAATACAATAAATAAGAATAGATATTGATAAGCATAGCTCCCATCGTATTCAAAGTAAACCTTGTTAATTTGGGCTTCTCTCTCCCTCCCTCCCCTTTTTTTAAAAAAATCAGAGGTGTACTTCTGAAGGACTTGCATTTAAAAAAACCGCAAAACACTAATGGAATTCTGCTCACACAAGAGTTTTTTCACATCTGTTTGCCTCTGCAATTCTTCCATATCACCTAATGTTTCTCAAAAAAATGCAGCCATGTGTTAGAGAAACTGCAACACAACATACCACTGCAGAAAGTAAAATAAGACACTTACATACATGAATGTTTCTTATAAATGTAAAAAGTGGGTTTTTGGCAGCAATTATCCAAGATATTTAGTAATTTGGATTACTGAGCTGGAAATGGTATGGTCTGAGTCCACAGACACAGACTTTCATGTGCAAGCCAGGTACATCTTCCATTAATAAATTAAATCTTACTTTTGTATTTGATTGCTTGATAATGCACCATCAGGTTGGTGTCAACACACCACATAGATTTTCTCTAGAATCATCTGTCCCCAGCCTGATCTTTCAGATCTTCCAAAAGTATATCCATCACTGCTGTAATTTAGTCCATCTACCTTGCTGTTGGTTATCCTCTCCTTCTCTTTCGTTCCACATTTCACAGCATTGTAGACTTCTTAAGAGATCTAGGTCTTTTCATATTACATATTACTTATACATATTATTATATAATTCTTGGGTTATGATGGCAGTTGGACAGGTACAGCCATCACTAAGCAATGTGGTCGTAAAGCATGATATTGTGTGACACCATCACTGAGTGATGACAATCCTGGCAGTCCTGGTTGCCGTCATAACCCTAAGACGTGTGAGTCTTTAATTGGGAATCAGTGGGAGTCCCAGGTAAGGAATGTGCCCTGGTGCGGGTTGTTTGCGAGCCAAAGGAGGCCACGGGAAGCAGGGTGTGGTGCCACCTGAGCAAAGGGAGCTCAGGGGAAGGAGGGCACGGTTTTGTGATTTCAAATTGGGTGTCTGTAATTTACCTTAAGGAGTTTTTTCCACCAATGATCCGCTTTTGGCGACGATGCAATATTCTTAAACCACACACAGAAGCAAGAGAATCTAAATAGGACCCAAAGCAGAGAAGTTAAATTTTCCCACCAGTAAATACTGAGAAGCCCTTTAAATGACAAGCAAAGTCATCAAACAATTCCCTCCTAAAAAAAAAAACACTCCCCAATATTTCTTTACAATTTCCAGCAAAGAGAATGATTGAACTTTATACATATTTCACCTTTATTACTGGATGCTTTCTTGCTAAGATAGTCACAGATGACACCAGCATCTTCACTGTGACGACAATTATGTTTGCCAATATCCTGTTTAATGCAATCAATGAGGGATCTTTCATTTCCAGTGCATTTCACATTATCCACGTGAATAGGACCTTTTCCTTCCCCAAAATATGCCATAGTCCTTGCTCGTGATGAACCTCTGGAAAAAAGAAAAGAAAAATAAAACCGATTGGGCAACTTTTAAAATAAAGAATAATGGCAGCAATAAGAACAAGATATGGAATCCTTATATCACCTGAAACTATAAACCTCAGTAATTTCCTTTGGCCATCTCTGCTAAGACTGGCCATCATATGGGAAAAGGTTAGTTACAGCATTATTTTTCAAATTATTTTATTTAGTGTATTAATCATTTTTATTTAACATATTAATTTTTATTTAGCTTATTAATCATTTTTATTTAGCATATTAACAATTTTCAAAGGCTACAAATAGTGGCTTGGATTTATTTAGTAACCATATAATGCTTCTATGAGGAATTTTCATCATCAGATTGATTTAATACTAGAGAATAATGAGATTCTTTTGTAGTTTGGATGATAAAGTTTACTTAATAGTTATTTTTTAATAATTTTGTGGTTAATAATTTTATTTTTAAAAAATCCAAGGCTCTCACGATTACTTTTTTAAAACCAGCTTGAAAGCAGTACCTGTATTTAAATATATTATTCCACAAACAGAGGTTTTTTTAAACTAGCAAATATTTGCATGAACAGAAACGAGTGTGTGCAATTTTCACTGAGAGCAATCATAGCTATTTTCATCCATCAGAAAGAAAGCAAAATATACCATTATGTGCCAACCCGAACAACACTCCAGAATTCTTCATCTCGTCTATCCTCCTATCTCAAGACTGAGTTTGAACTGCATGGCTCTAACATCTACCAATTTGGGGATTTTCTTATTTTCATCTCATGCTCTCTTATGTTAGCATCTTACCTGATGAAGAGTTCTGGAGAAGTCAAAAGTTCATACATTGTTTTTACTAGCCCTCAAAAAAGTATTATCTTACTCTGAATTTTCATCAGTTTTAAATCCGTGCTGCTAAATGTTACCCCCCCCCC